TCTTTTAAAATCTTTTAATTGACTACACCTAGATTTGAATGGATTCTGTTTGTACCATACTTAGGGCTTCTGTATTTAGATCTCATATAAATACTCGGGGGACTCAAATGTAATTATGTAATAAATGAAGGGGCAAATATGTAATACGTGAGTAGCCCTTATTCTATAAAATGACCCCTCACTCTCTTCATTGAGGGAGGCCAATTCTTGAGCCCCCTCACCATCTCAAAGCCTCACTCTCACATTACAGAGGCTCTCTCCCTCACAATCCTCTTAGAGAAATACAATATCAGTGTGGACGTAACCCAAACATTGGGGTGAACCACGATACATCTTGTGTTCTTTACTTTCTTGCAGATTCAAGATCAGATTTACGTTGTTCCAAGACCTCCGGTTTTGTGCATCAACATTTGACGCCGTCTGTGGGAAACGATACGAAAAGTTGTGTCGGTTCTCTTTCATTTTTTTCACCTCCACCGTGAATCTGCAAAATCACAAAAAATCAAACCAACGAAATTTCCTTCATGAGTCTTTGACTGCACCTAACCACCAAACACCGCAACCCCCATAACCCCAACACAAATAGCGCAGAAAGAAACAAAGAAACAAAAGGAGGAAGAATGAGTTTCCAAGATCTCGAGGCTGGTTCTTCTCCCCAAAAGCCTCCGCGACCCGGACTCTGATGTCCGATCCCTCTTCTGCCATGTCACTAAGCCCCATTTCTTTCGGCTCTTTTCTGAAGCCGTTAAACCGACATGCTTTTCATGGAGCAGGATCCGAACTCGCAGATCGGGTCGGCCCTCTGCCTAGCGTCGGGTCACGGAGCTTTGAGGAGCTTGGTTCCTTGCCTCGTCGGTTTCCTGGGCAGCGAGTACCGTATCAATGGGGCATCTGCGACGTGGGAAGAGTACAGTGCGAAGCTCAGATCTCTCTCTCTCTCTTTCTCTCCTCATCCTCCCCTTCTTCTTCGTCTTCGCTGTCACTGATTCCACGTTCTCCGCATTCCCGAGAGACCCAAGCTTTCAGTGGCCACACCAGAGAGCTCCTCGTTTGGATGTTGTCTGCGAAAGTGACAGTGAGGGCCTCCGGTACCAAGCGTGTGAGCCAGTGTTAGAAGTTGGCACGTGCGAACCAAACCATCAACTGAATACGATTGTAGAATGAGCTGGAGCAGCTGGCGAAAGAGATAATAATCATGATCACCAGGGGATGAGTAAATGGGCTATGCTCGACCTCCTGGTTACTTCTCATGACCTTGGAAATGATCAAGATTCGTCGTCCAAAGGAGCAGCCAAGTATGAGGATGCAAATGCACCCTTTTCTGTCAACCAAATTAACCCACAGCACATCTCGTTGCGTGGAGAGATGGATTTTTGGGGCTATAAAAAATAATATGGATTAGAGCTTGGCTCGAGATCTGCGGCCAGGTCCATAGAGAGAAAGCAAGATTACCAAGTTGAATTGGAGTCATTGGCGGTCAAGTTAAAGGAGGAAAACAAGCAGCTTTTGAAAGAACAGGCTGAGAGGACTCAGACAAGACTTAAGCAGAGGTGTGTTTGCTGAATCTTACTGGTGGACGATATGGACGGTATGGGTGTGTTTGCTGTAAAGGCTTTGTTACGCACGACACAGGTCCTCATGGTCGAGGCAGTCGCCGACCCAGATCTTATCTCCTGCGAATACCACAAGAAAAGTAAAAACGGAGATAAGATTCTTTTCTTATTATTAATTCTATTATCATTCCTTGTCTGCCATCTGCAAAAGGGAAAAGAAAAAGAAGAAACATAAACAAAAGCAAAAGCAGAAAGCAAAAGAAGATAAAAATAATAAAATAAATAAAAAGCAGACATAATTGAGGTGGTGATGGCATTATGGACGTGGCCCATTGAGCAGAGGGTCGGATTTATTTTTGAATGATGCGATTTATTTTTCTTATCTTTCGAAGACATCTGTATAAACCCTATCAGAGGGTAATAAAAAAATAAAAATAAAAAAAAGGGCAAGCCCAAAATAATGGGCTGGAATGTTATGTGGAGGGCGAATGCCCATATGCCCAAAAGAGACAAGGCCTATGGCTCCAAATTTATTCGGCACCCGGCCGCTATTATCACCAACCAGGTGATCAAAAGTACGCCCGGTACTCCAAAATTATTCGGCACCCTGCCTCTATTATCATCAACCAGGTGATCAAAAGTATGTCCAGTACTACAAAAAATTATTCGGCAGCCTGCCGCTATTATCACCAACCAGGTGATCAAAAGTACGCCCAGTACTCCAAAATTATTCGGCAGCCTGCCGCTATTATCACCAACCAGGTGATCAAAAGTACGTCTAGTACTCCAAAATTATACATGAGCATCACTCATGTTAATCATACATAAACATTCATGACCATCATTCATGTCAACATTCATGAGCATCACTCATGTCAACATTCATGAGCATCACTCATGTCAACATCCATAAGCATCACTCATGTCAATCAACATAAACATTCATGAGCATCACTCATGTCAATCAGCTTCGAAAGCTTCATTTACAAAAGCTCCAGCTTCAAAGCTTCACTTGCAAAGCTTCACCTACAAAGCTTCAGTGCAAGGTATACAAATACCGTCTCCGAACAACCGCCACTTCGGCCCATACATGGATTCAATTTGAAGTCTCCAACCAACAGACTCTATTGACTGAAGACTTGGGGGACTACACTATGTACCATATATTGGGCCTCATAAAAAATACTTGGGGGACTTAGACCATTATTTATGTATTGAGGAACGAACCCTTATTTTATAAAAGGGACTCCCTCACTTTCATTATAGAGCACCCATTATTCATGTATTGAGGAACGAGCCCTTATTCTATAAAAGGGACTCCCTCACCATCATTAGAGAACATCGCCGCCAGCTGAGCAACCGCCTCGCCGCCAGCATCAACTCTAGCCCATCATTTATGTATTGAGGAGCGAGCCTTTATTCTATAAAAGGGACTCTCTCACCATCATTAGAGAGCATCGCCACCAACTGAGCAACCGCCTCGCCGCGAGCATCAACTCTTAGCCCATCACTTATGTATTGAGGAGCGAGTCCTTATTCTATAAAAGGGACTCCCTCACCTTCAACGCCACAAGCCGAGCCAACCAAAGCAACATAAGCCACAAACCGAGCAGCCTCGTAACATGTGCTACTTTTAGTTGAGCATCATTTCAGATTGAGCACCGACTCATATCGAGCATCAGTTCAAGACAACATCTAGTTACTTCGGCCCACACATGGACTGAATTTCAAGTCTCCAGCCAAAAGAGTCTCTTGACTGAAGACTTGGGGGACTACTATTTGTACCATACTTAAGGCCTTCGTATTTAGATCTCGTATAAATACTTGGGGGACTCAAATGTAATTATGTTATAAATGAATGGGCAAATATGTAATAAGTGAGGAGCCCTTATTCTATAAAATGACCCCTCACTCTCCTCATTAAGGGAGGCCAATTCTTGAGCCCCATCACCCTCTTAAAGCCTCACTCTCACATTACAGAGGCTCTCTCCCTCACAATCCTCTCAGAGAAATACAATATCAGTGTGGACGTAGCCCAAACATTGGGGTGAACCACGATACATCTTGTGTTCTGTACTTTCCTGCAGATTCACGATCGGATTTATGTTGTTCCAAGACCTCCGGTTTTGTGCATCAATAGATTCTAAAATTCTTTAAAATCTTTTAATTGACTACACTAGGATTTTAAAGTCTTTTAAAATCCTCTCAAATCCGAGTTTGACTACATCCCCATAAGTGTAAAGAAAAGTTATAATTAGAGATCTATTGCTTATGTTATATACTAGGTCCATTTATATGTGGATATTATCATGAAAGTATTTATTTAAAATCTCATTATTTATCATAGATTGAAAAAACAATTCCTCATTTGTTTTTAATAAAAGTGATATGACTGGAGAAATCGAATACAAGATATCCGTACGCCAGTAAATGCTCTTAACCACTAACCTTTCATGATATTTTTCCACATAACAAAAAAAACATTGGAGTTATGTAGTATTGTGACAATGATACAGTTTCGAGGCCACCAAACCTAGGTGTTTTTATGCTACATAATACTAATTTGTATTCACGGTGATAAACTTAAAAATATTTAACTTACTACTAAGAGCTAGTTTGGTATTGCTGTGTTTTAAAAATAAAAATAAAAACTGTTTCTGCTGTGTTGTGAAAATAAACAGCTGTAAAATAAAGTTGTTGAGTGTTTGGTAAACTTTTTTTATGTAAAAGTGTTTTTAATAAAAATAAATAAATAGTGTCTGAGAGTTCGGTAAACTTTTATATAAATTACTTTGAATATGTTAAATGACTAAAAATGATATGGTATTTAATGTGATAATAATTGTTAAAGACAATAATATAGGGGCAAAAATTGTAATTTGTAAAACGAGTATATTTGCCATTTGAAAATTTCATTACATGAGCACTGATTACTATGCTTTGAAGAAGGAAAAAAACATTTTTTTAGAAGCACTATAGATCCTGCTTCTGCTTTTCTATGTTTTTCTACTGTCATTGACAACATTTTTTTAAACAAGCTTTTTGCTTTACCAAACACATTTAATGTTCCAAATTTTTTAATAAACTGCTTTTTTTTAAAGTACCACAATCCCAAACCTACCCTAAAGGAAAGAAGAAAAGGTTTACACCCAAAACGCAATGTGATGAAAAGAAAAACCCTAACCACCAGAGCAATCCGCCACTTGCAAGTTGCATGGTTCTTAACTAGCAAACCATGGTTAGCCACAAAAACTAGATGTTCTTTATGCTCCATAATACTAATTTGTATTCACGGTGATAAGCTAAAGACGATTTAACTTACTACTTCATGAACCAAATTAAAGGGAAGAAGAGAAGGTTTAATCCCGAAAAGCAATGGGATGAAGAAAAAATACCCTAAACACCGGAGCAAATTGTCACTTGCAGATTGCATGAACCTTGACCATCAAACCACGAAAATGAATTAATTAGTATACCTCGCTCTTATTATTCTGTTTTATTTTACACACTTTTATTTACCCAACAAAAAGAAGAAAATTACACAATTGAAGGTCATAGCTCTCCTTTCATCCAATGCTTTCAATAGCAACTCAAACAACTTTCAAGAAAAATTACAGATTTTAGTACAAAACGTGACAACAAAAACAAAATGGCTGGAATGTTGAACATTGACTGTATTTCTTGATATAATCTGTCATAACAGAAGAAAGAAATATAACTATCGGGTCACGAAATTCGCTATGCGTGGAAGTACAGGATATGTAATGCTCCCCTCTCGACATTCTCCGAACCATTCTCAGGGAACCAAGATTTGATGATGCTTTGCGATGAAGGAGGAGTTTCTATAGGCCACTTATCGACTAGCTTAAACCCGAATTTGGATGCAGCTGAAAGTATGGAAGGCTCATCTACCCGACGGAAAATATGACAAAGGATTAGGGCCGGTTTGAAATCCTCAGCGGTGCTTCTGTCCGATGAAATTAACTCCTTTGCAGTTTGAAATAAGGGCAAGGTTGCTTCAGCTACATAAGTGACGTCTGTGCCGAGGATGATATCAAAACCTTGAGAATTAGCTTCCTTGATGGCTTCTATATGATCTCTATTTCCCCACACTAATCTTCTTGTAATCAGTTTGTCCAGAAATGGCGGTCTAAGATTCGACTTGACATTTTGCATCAGTAGGTCAAGTGCTTTTGAGTCACCATCAGTCGCAAACACAAGGTCAGCAGATCTAGCGGCAACCATAGAGCAAATGCCCCCGGAGCCACACCCCAACTCCAACACCTTTTTCCCGCTGACAATAGTTGGATTTCTGGTTAAAACAGAAGCCATGAACCGAGCTGATTCCCACAACATTAAACCAGTTGATTTGCAAGTGTGTTGATACACTTTGGATAACACTTCAATCTTGCAAGTCCAATCACCTAGCTCTAGCTCAATTACCTAAGAGCAAGAATGCCTTAAATGAGTCGAGCCACAACCTAATCACAACCTAATAAAAGCTCTATTTCTGCAAACAATTATGAAAATTTAAGCATATTTGTAGAAGGAAAAAAGACGAAATTTTACCTCGTTGTCATTGGAAGGTAAGACACCAAACATGTCCACCGCCACACCGTCGGAAATGTCAACATCCAAATCATTCACAGGTTTCTTCAAGATATTCTCATTGACCTCTAGCTCGCTTTTCTCTTGACCAAGATGATCTACTTTGGTTGCTGCTTCCGTTTTGGTAGAGGACTTTGTATCGTCTGAAAGGCGGAATACGGCTTGAACCCAACGTCTGGAATAAAAAAACAAGAATTACAATTTGATCAGAGAAGATTAATTAATAGAACAAAAACCTGAAGGAAGAGCAGGATTTAATCAAAGTGACAATCCTCATCCACATACAGGACACAACCTACGAGTGAAAATAGGATCGTTTACCGATTCATAACCAACTCCCTTGACCGGTTCTCAACTTGTTTGCAGCACAAATCAAGTTCTTCGACATCAAAACCATTATCTTTAAATAAGCTTGTCAAGAACTCATTAGCAAAGTAGAAAGCACGCTGAAATATAATAAGGGATCACAATCAAGCTTGAGAACGGAGAAAAAATTAGCTCAATGTACAAGCATGTGCAAGAAAACCTTACAGTGCCATCACCCCTGACATAAAAGTTTTCACTTATCTTTTGGTCCTTGCATTTCAGTCTTTCCTGTCCATTACCAATACAGTTACAAGTAAACTTCCGTATCTTATAACCATCTTTTAAAAGTAAAAAAAAAAAAAAAAAAAAAAGGACACAATCAATCAATAATAAGGATGAATTTCAAAATACACGCATATTGGAGAGGAACCTGAGCAAGGTCACCAGTAGCGTAGTCACGAAACAGCACACAACCATTTGGCTGGGAAAAAGGAATCCACAAATTTCATCACCTATGAAGAGGCATACACTAATTCCGTAAAAAGAGCTGCTTGAAATAAAAGTTTGTTAGAACCATCAGTTACCTTGAGAACTTTCTTAATATTCTTCAGTAACAGAGGCATCTTCTCTGGAGACACTGCAGATAACACAAAAATCTACTTAAACAAGTCAGCAACTTTACTAAGTAAAAAAGTTCACTCGTCAAATTTAACCACTGGGGAAAGTTGCTCAATATGTTCAATTCATATACCATGGTTACAATATCCACGGACGATGAAGAAATCTGCTTGCTTAGATCATCAATGGTAGGATCACAAACAAATGCGCTAACACGGGTATCTGTGAAGTCTTTATGCGTCTGCAATAAAACTTGTCATGCATCACTTGTCATGGCTATTCAGTACCAACCACCAACCTAAACTGAATTTACTATTTTTCGTCTACTTGCATTTTGTTGGTCAAACATATTCAATCAAATATCCTTTGCCATGGAATCAGCAACTAAATGTAGAAGAAAACCATACCTTAACCAAGTTAATAGCATTTGTTGAAAAATCGCATGCATGGACAAAAACATCTGCATACATCGTTACCAGTGGGAAAATAGTGTTTCCAGTTCCACAGCCAACCTGTACATTGAAAACAGTAATCAATAATCCAATACGTAACGTCCTTCCAGGAAAATGGTCAGAGATCCTCTATATAGAAACGTAGAATAGATCACCGCACTTAACAAACTAAGATAAATACTTTGCCACAAAAGAGAAGTAAATTATACTTCTTCCAAATCAAGTTGAGGCATATATGTGACATAATGCCACAAGATCTCTACTGATACAGAGATATTAGACAACAACAGTAACATGCATGACCGGCACACTAATTTACCTCTAAAATAACTTTCCGCCCAGCGCCCTGATAGTCAAAAAGATAAAAAATATAAAAACAAAAGTTAAAATCTTATGCAACTGTTGGATGGATATGAAACTACAAAACCAAAAACCTACACATATATCTCCATCATAATTCTTCACTCACCGAGAAATATTTGCCCCACTCCTTGTCCAGGTAGTGCCGATCTTTAAAGAACTGATTAAAGAAATTCACAGTTAGTTATTTCGCACCAGGCAAAATCAGAATTCGGATATGGGCACCAGATATTGGCACACAGAAGAATGCAACAGAGCCTAATTTCGGGGGCCGGCAACCACAGAAGTAGCTATGGTGAAACTTACTAACCAAATAAGTAAGTGAAAACACACCTTGTCTTGATGCCGCTTGTAAAACACATCCCAGTACTTCTTGGCATCTTTTTCATACTTTTCTGCAAAAAAGGCGTTTATGATCAAATGTAAGCACCAGTGAAGCTACAAAGGCGCAAGGTTTCTTTCTCCTTTTCATCGAATTTGTGAATTGGGATTTTAGGTTTTTGATTGTTGATCGTCTATGACATGAATTAGCTGCAAATTTCGATACTTTTACGAAAATGTGATGATGGGTTGTTCTTGTTTTGACTGTTTTGATGCAAACTCGATGATAGGTTGTGCTGGTTTCTGATGCATTTTTTTTGAATTAGCTGAAATTATTTTTTATTTGTATTTCACAAATTTGAGGAATTAAGCTTAAAAGAACCATAATTTGGCAGTGCGCTTATGAGAAAGGACAGAACGGGTTTCTAATAATCCCCTTTTCTCTTTTGCTTTCAGATTACTTCCATTTTAGGTCCCCATTATGGCATTATCACACTTTTTTAGTAACGCTTTCGGATTACTCAGATTACTTAAAATGAACTTACATGTGGAGAGCGTTTTCGCTATGAATATTGTCAAAACCCCACTACGTAACAAAATGGGAGATCAATGGTTGAGTGAGTAGCTTGGATGTTTACATTGAGACAGATGTTTTTGCTTTTATTGATAATGATCATATGCGACGTGAAACCTCGACGGCAACAATTGTAACAAATTATAAACAACATTAATTTTGTCTACTATCTAAAAGGATTTGGTTGTTAAATTTTTCTAAAACCTTTTAACCTTTCAAAACTTTGCCGCTTTCCGCCACTGAATGTAAGATATATCGAGAGAGAGAGAGAAAGAGTACCTCTCCAGAAAGAAGAGAGAGTATCAGAGGTGGAGTAAATCTGCAGCCTTGGGGCTGCTTGCTCTTGCTCCGAAACTACTTTGACAGTGGGCGCCATAACCTCCAAAGCTTCTTAGCCGAATCCGAAGACAAAAATACGAAATTCAGCAACAAAAACGATTTCTGAAAATAAAGCTGAAATTTGAAAACAGAGCGATTCTGCTACTGAATTATCAGCTTAAGTTAATCGATTTATGAACTTGTGAAAAAAAAAAAAAATTAACTTGAATCGGATTTTTGGTTTGGAAACGAAGGAGAGTCGTACCTGTTGAAGTTCGAGGTGCAGGAGACGACTGGACGAGAAAGTGGGAGAGAGTTGACTGCTGCGGGTGCCGTGTAGTGTAGATTGTAATTAGGGTTTTGGCTCAGTGCTTCCTTTTATGCGCCGTTTATTTTGGGTATATTTCAACAAATTTCTATTTAGGGTTAACAACTTTTCTCTCTTAACTTTTCTCTCCTAGTCAGTTCGTTTAACCGTTTTGGTTTTTTCCATTTTACCCCTGCAATTGACTGCTGTCATGATGACTCACAATCAGTGTTTGAAATATTCATTTTCGTCCACGTATTTGAAAAATCAAGGATTGATACGAAATGCTGAGATGAAATTTAAATATTATTTTTTATCGGTGAGATATAAGAAAATTAATGAATACTCAGCGCAATGCAAATTTTCATAATTTTCGTGATTTGTCAAAGCCAATCGATATCAATTTCGATATAGATATATTTATTGATATTTCCACCTATATCGATATTTTAAACGGTCATCACAACTTCTTCAATCATCAAAACAAATTAACAGCAAATTTATGAGACTTCTTTTCTTCGACACATTTCACTTCTTTTGTAAAATAGCTAAACTTAAAACACAGTAATCAAAATAGATTTTCAAAATAAATTGACAAAAAGGTTTCTAACCTTTCTTTTATTTTTGTTTATACCATATTTAGGGCCTCGTATTTAGATCTCGTACAAATACTCAGGGGACTTAAATGTAATTATGTGATAAAGGAATGGGCAAATATGTAATAAGTGAGGAATCTTTATTCTATAAAATGACTCATCACCCTTACAATTGGAGGAGGCCAATTCCTAGGCCTGAGATCCCCTCTCTCACCCTCAGAAGCTTTCAGAAGCTCTCACCCTCACCCTCTCTATCCTCTCAGAGAAATACAATATCAGTGTGGACGTAGCCCAAACCTTGGGGTGAACCACGATACATCTTGTGTTATTTACATTTCATGCAGATTCACGGTCGGATTTACGTTGTACCAAGACCTCCGGTTTTGTGCATCAACATTTGTCAAAGCCAATCGATATCAATTTCGATATAGATATATTTAGGGAAAATTAGAAGGCCCTACATATTTTCTATAGTTGTTAGATTAAACATTCATTCCTTTTAAAGATTTGATTAAGGTGCTTCAATCAATTGCCACCTCAATAATTTTCTATTTATTTAATTTCCATATCATTAATTTAAATGCATTTATATAGAGGTATAAGGTAGCTTAGCAACTAATTGTCTATAATATAGGAATTTAATTTCCTCAATCCCCTTCTTCGCATTAAATGACATTTTTTTAATAAAATAAAATAAAAAATTAAGTAACTAATTCCTCATTTCCTTATTATTAGTATTTAAAGAAAATACTCTTTCTATTAAAATTGTATCAATAAAAAGTCTTTAATACATATTTTTTTCATGTATAGATATATAAAAAAATATACTTAAAACTTATGGTACATTTGAGAACAAAAGTATCGACTTTTGGTACGTTTAGATTTCAAATGTACCGAGAAACCAAATGTACCAAAAATTCAAATGTACCATAAAAGCAAATGTACCCATTGTTATGTAACCTTTTTGGTACGTTTAGATTTCAAATATACAGAGAAACCAAATGTACCAAAATTTCAAATGTACCATAAAACTAAATGTGCCCATTGTCAAGTAATCATGTTGGTACGTTTAGATTCCCATTGTACCAAAAGACCAAATGAACAAAAAATCTCAAATGTACCACAAAACCAAACGTCTCTATCAGATAACCCTTTTGGTACATTTACATTCCAAATGTACAAGAAATACAAAAAATCAAATCCACTATAAAACTAAATGTGTCCATATTATAGGTAACTAGACGTAGCTATATTATCAAACAAATCTTTACTATGTGTTGGGTCTTCTAAATAATAAAATTTGACAATTTTTTTTATAAATATTCTACTATATTCACACAAAAAAAGTAAATATTATAACAAACAATAAAAAAATGCATGGAGATGGATAATAAATGCATAAATACAGGGATAATAGGAAAAGAAAAAAAAAGAAAACGAAATGCCCAGGAGATGGATAATAAATGCATAAATATAGGGATAATAGAGATAATAGGAACTGAAATTAATAACCAAAATTTTAGGAAAATGTTTGATCAAATTTTCAAAAGGAGTGTATGTTTAGTCTAAAAAATTAAAAAACAAGGCGCCTATATCAAAATGCCTCATATATTTATTGATATTTCCACCTATATCGATATTTTAAACGGTCATCACAACTTCTTCAATCATCAAAACAAATTAACAGCAAATTTATGAGACTTCTTTTCTTCGACACATTTCACTTCTTTTGTAAAATAGCTAAACTTAAAACACAGTAATCAAAATAGATTTTCAAAATAAATTGACAAAAAGGTTTCTAACCTTTCTTTTATTTTTGTTTATACCATATTTAGGGCCTCGTATTTAGATCTCGTACAAATACTCAGGGGACTTAAATGTAATTATGTGATAAAGGAAGGGGCAAATATGTAATAAGTGAGGAATCCTTATTCTATAAAATGACCCATCACCCTTACAATTGGAGGAGGCCAATTCCTAGGCCTGAGATCCCCTCTCTCACCCTCAGAAGCTTTCAGAAGCTCTCACCCTCACCCTCTCTATCCTCTCAGAGAAATACAATATCAGTGTGGACGTAGCCCAAACCTTGGGGTGAACCACGATACATCTTGTGTTATTTACATTTCATGCAGATTCACGGTCGGATTTACGTTGTACCAAGACCTCCGGTTTTGTGCATCAACATTTGGCGCCGTCTGTGGGAATCAACACGAAAAGTTATGTCGGTTCTCTCTCAATTTTTCACCTCCACCGTGAATCTGCAAAATCACAAAAAATCCAAAAAAAAAACCAGATCTCTCTCTTTCCCTCTCTCTCAAGTTTGATTTCTCAGAACAACAAACTTGTTCGCTGGGTATAGATGATCGAGACCAAGAACCAGGCTTTATTCACTGGGCACCTTGTTGAGCCCGAGCTCGCCGACAGTTACTTTGAATGGGCTGGGCTAGTCTCTTGGTGCATGCAGCTTATGCGGGCCGTTAAAAAGTCCCGAACTAGTTTCTCCTTTGCATCACACTACTTGTTGGACTCACTTGGTGAACCGGTCTACGGTCTATTGGACCTGTACAAGTAGTTCAGTAACTCTTTGTTCTTCATGAACCGGTCTGGTTTAAACGTGTCCGGTTCATCGAAGACCTTCTCATTCCTCATGACTTGTTGTTGAAACCCACAGAGCAACTCACCCTTCTTGATGTCAAAGATTGAGTCGTGTGAACTCAGTTGGAAGTCTTTCTGGCCCGGGCAAATTGGAGTGGAACCGGTGGGTTGAATCGGAGGGCTTTGCACACTACGGAATGAACCAGTAGCAAATTTTTCATCGAGTTGAAACTCAAAGTTTTGCTTTTTGGCCAGAAATTTGGCAGTATTGCTGCAGAACCACCGACAACTCCACCGCCACTCTTTTCTCGAACCTCCAAGGTCCAATCAAGCCCATCTCTGGAATTGGGTCCTGCAACCTTGGGCTCAGCCCTGAAGGACTAGGCCGGCGCAAGTACCTCCAGGTGCCTAATATACAAGGTCCAATACAAAAAGGAAAGGAGTAAGAAGAAACAGATTCGTCGGTGCATGCTCCTGATCTCATCAAGATTATTGAAACCTCAATCCTTACTTTTCAGCTTTTTCTGAAGATGGATAAGAAAAAACCAAGCTCTATTCTTAACTTGTTTGGGAATCAAAACCAGGCTGCCATCCCACTTCAGCCGATTCAAGCTTCTCTCCAGAAGGCTCGCTCCACATCGCCGTGACTCTAGAACTCCGAGTACGTCCGGGGGTCAGTGGCTGCAGTGCCCTCCGTCATCAAGCACGTTTCTTTACCGCCGTTCTTACTCGTCTTCACCGGCAACGTGGAGGCCATAAACCACCGGTGGAACCAACACGACCTCAGCGGCGACAATGTCAGAGGCAACTACCGGTCTGCATCCTGGTCCGGTCAGTCTCCTCCATTGGGAGGAGAGCCAGTTTCCTGAATGATTCCAACACAAGGTCACATATGTGGGCAAGCATTTGCGAAAGCTTCAAGCAGGTGGTCCCATGGAGACGCAGGCAAGAAAAAAATGAGAAAAATGGCCTCTTAAAGAAAGCCCTTCGCAACCGTTGGATCAACCAAATCCGACGATCCATTTCCTACTTGTTAAAAAATTTGTGCGGATCCCAACCTTCGCCACTGCCTCGAAGCCGGCCAGTTTCTGGGTCTTCTTCTTGATCAAATGACGAGGAGAGAGAAGCTCAAGGCCTCAAGAATTCAGAGGGAAGCACGTGGACATGCTGACGACGTTGCTGTCGCTCAATGATGATGCTGACGGTAAGGGCACCAAACTCACCGACACTAAGATTAAATATGTTGAAGAGGCCATATTCAAAGTGTTGCGTGCTGTTGCTGTTTCTGGGTCCACCACCTCTACTGAATACACTTTCAGGTCATGCATCCATTTTTCTCCTATCGGTTCATATTTTCTGAGTGATTAGACAAAGAGAGATGGGACATCACTCAAAACGCTCAAAATCTGGAGAAAAGCAACAAAGAAAATGACGGTGGCTGCTGCAAATGCATGTGGTGGTTCCCTCTCCCGCAGAAAAAGAAAAAAAGATAAGTTTTTCTTACAATATTCCTATTATTCTACATGATGATGTCTGCCATCTGCAATAAAAAATTAAAAATAATAATAAAAAGAAAAAAGACAGCCACTGATGATGGATGAAGTGACGGGTAATCATCAACCAGCTCAGCTCCACCCCCAGCACAACTATGAAGAAACCCACTTTTCTGAGAAAATCACGAGAAAAGCAGAAAGCAAAAGAGAAAGCAAAAGGAAGACACATGGGGACACTGCAAAAGCAAGGAATAAACATCCCATCAGAATGATTTAATTTATTTTTATTATCTTTCGGAGACATCTGTATAAACCCCATCAGAGGGTAATTAAAAAAAAAAAAAAAAAGCCCAAAATAATGGGCTACAATGTCATGGGCGAATGCCCATATGCCCAAAAGACCCAGACCCTTTATTACCACCAACCAGGTGATCAAAAGTACGCCCAGTACTCCATAATTATTCGGCAACATGTCGCTATTACCACCAACTAGGTGATGAAATGTACAACCCGTACTCTGAAATCATTTAGCACCTAGTCATTCATGCCACCAACCAGGTGATGAAATGTAAAACCCGTACTCTAATATCATTTGGCAACTAGCCATTCATGCCACCAACCAGGTGATGAAATGTACAACCCGTACTCTCCTTCATGCCACCAACCAGGTGATCAAAAGTACGCTCGGTACTTCATATTATACATGAGCATTACTCATGTCAATCATACAAAAACATTCATAAGCATCACTCATATCAATCATACATAAACATTCATGAGCATCACTCATGTCAACATCCATGAGCATCACTCATGTCAATCAAACATTCATGAGCATCACTCATGTCAAATAGCTTCAAAAGCTTCATTTACAAAAGCTTTAGCTTTAAAAGCTTCATTTACAGAGCTCTAGCTTCAAAGCTTCACTTACAAAACTTCAGTGCAGGGTATACAAATACCACATCCGAACAACCGCCACTTCGGCCCATACATGGATTCAATTTGAAGTCTCCAGCCAACAGACTCTATTGACCGAAGTCTTGGGGGACTACATTATGTACCATATATTGGGCCTCAACTGTGCCTCATAAAAAATACTTGGGGGACTTAGCCCATTATTTATGTATTAAGGAGCGAGCCCTTATTCTATAAAAGGGACTCCCTCACTTTCATTAGAGAGCACCCATTACTCATGTACTGAGGAGCGAGCCCTTATTTTATAAAAGGGACTTCCTCACCTTCATTAGAGAGCAACGCCGCCAGCTGAGCAAGCGCCTCGCCGCGAGCATCACTTCTAACCTATCACTTATGTATTGAGGAGCGATCCCTTATTCTATAAAAGGGTCTCCCTCACCATCATTAGAAAGCATCAACTCTATCCCATCATTCATGTATTGAAGAGCGAGCCCTTATTATATAAAAGGGACTCCCTCACCTTCAACGCCACAAGCCGAGCCAACCAAGGCAACATAAGCCACGAGCCGAGCAGCCTAACAGCATGTGCTACTTCTAGTTGAGCATCATTTCAGATTGAGCACCGCCTCATATCGAGCATTAGTTCAAGACAACATCTAGTTACTTCGGCCCACACATGGATTAAATTTCAAGTCTCCAGCCAAAAGACTCTATTGACTGAAGACTTGGGTGACTACTGTTTATACCATATTTAGAGCCTCGTATTTAGATCTCGTACAAATACTCAGGGGACTTAAATGTAATTATGTGATAAAGGAAAGGGCAAATATGTAATAAGTGAGGAGTCCTTATTCTATAAAATGACCCCTCACCCTTACAATTGAAGGAGGCCAATTCCTAGGCCTGAGATCCCCTCTCTCACCCTCAGAAGCTTTCAGAAGCTCTCACCCTCACCCTCTCTATCCTCTCAGAGAAATACAATATCAGTGTGGACGTAGCCCAAACCTTGGGGTGAACCACGATACATCTTGTGTTATTTACATTTCATGCAGATTCACGGTCGGATTTACGTTGTACCAAGACCTCCGGTTTTGTGCATCAACAATTTTCATTCATTTTTCATTCGAAAGTGGTTTATGCACACAACGTTTTTCTCATGCGTAACTCTGTTTATTTCTAGCATTTAAATTGAATAAATAAAAAACAATTGATAGACAAACTGGTGCGAAATTAGAAAATGGGGGTGCATAAGTCATTCATATTCTTATTGAGTCTAACTTTTTTGTTTTCAAAATTAAACAATAAGTAATTCGCAATATTTATTTATTACATAAATAAATTATTTTCAAATTAAATACCGAACGATCCTTATATTTTTTGTTTTGTTTTTAGTGTAAAAGAATAAATCCATTGTCCTGACGAACTGGACTAACAATAATTTCATATGATTATATAGAAAGAAAAATGAGTGCGAAAGTGTAGCGTTATATCGGATGGTACACAAAATTAGTATGAAACTGTTATTAATTTGCTGCTGGTTTTCTACAATCAAACTGTTTCTCTTCTCTATCATATAACATCTGAAATTCCGATATAACATCTTTGAGCCAAATAATTACAACCAAAATATTAGAGCCAATATTCAAAATTATAAAACCGAAAAATAAAAAATAAAAAATGATGACCTACACAATCGAAACATGGGAGCTACAAGGAGTGTTCTATTTGCTTCACAGATCAGTGAGTCTCTTTCTCCGTTTGCAAAGTGGGGCTTTTCGGTTCCCTTTCATCAGAGTTGGTATTATCGGTTTCTTCAACAACCGGCGATACGCCATTTTCCACCGGAGGCACATCGACGTTCTCAGTTACGCTCTTTTCACTTTCATTTTCATTTCTGTCTCCATCACCAACAGGTTTCAGGAGTCCTCTTGATGGAGTGGCGACTGTCAATAGGCGGCCAATCCCGTCATATAATTCTTTGCATCCATTATTAAAGTAGCTCCACCAGGGTAACAGCGGCCAAAGCATGTTGCACAATGTGGGAAAGTGACCTACAAATGTATTTGTAAGATATAGAGGATGTCAATGTCGTCTATAGATGCAAAAATATCAGACAATATGTAGCCCGGGTTTGTTTATATTATACCTCAATAAATGCTCGACAAAGTGAGAGGAAAAGTCCAGACTCATGTTCTTTCAGCATCCGATTTGTGTTGTACCTCAGTAAAGAATCAGAAACAGCCTGCAACCCCTTGATTAACTCTTGAGCAAGCACATGCTTCAAACTTATTGGGGCACAGGGGCGGAGGTCATTCATCGCTGCAGAAACACCTAAAGCCACAAGAAAGAGATATATGCATAAATGCCTGAAGAAAAAAAAACGCAGAAATCGGCCATTCTCTTGAGTTTTATGCAATCACTGGACCTACTAACACTTTATTTTTAAGAGAAACCATGAAATATATGTCCCACATTACAATTCAGTTATGCAGTTTATATAAGTAAACATGGGACCTACTTTCTTTCTTCCAAATGTGACATAGGAAGGGATAGAAAGAATCTTATTTAGTAACCATATCAATGATATTAGACCATCGATCATTATTTTGTTTACTAAAGTAGGCAACTAAAAACGAACAAAGCACACAAGATGAGAATTTCGGTGGGGAAAAGGGCAATTCCTCAGTAAACATAGAAGATTTTAGCTGAGAAGCTTAAGCAACACTTACCATTAACAAAGACAGCAAGAGGTGGATGTTCCATAAGATAAGATGGTGGGGTTACATCATCCTGATTTTCATCACCATGACTATTCGATGAAAAGCCAACTACTGGTAGTGGGACCCAACGATGTGAATCCAAGACCACCTGGATTTAAGCATGATGTCAACTATCTGCATTTTTAATCATAGAAACACTGAATTCAAATCATCAATTATCCATTCACCTCAAAATTCTCAACTGCTGCGCTCATGTTTTTTGAGAATAAGTTGAGAACTGCCCTGGAAAAATAACCAAGGTCAACATTCACAATGAAGAAAACATAGGGTATATAGTAGTCAAGATAAAAGGGGAATAAGATCTGTACTCTTCAAACAGTGATGACAGCAATCCCCGAAAATCTAGCCCAACCCAACCAAGTCCCATAGCACAATACTGTCAACAAAAAAAGTAACAAGATCAAAATAAACGAACAGAGCTTCTATTACTCTTAAATTTCAATGATATTTAAAGGAGTAGCATGACCAATTTACGACTGAAGCTTTGGTTTTTTATCATATGTAAAAAGGGGACGAATATCATTTTAAACGAGAAGTTCAAATGAATGGTGATATATCTTGCAAATCATGGACTATTAAAGAAGCAACTGTATTCAGGCATTTATCTCCAGTTTATAGCTTGATGCCAGCATGTGCAGAACGATAATAAATATAACATTGGACGCTCACCATGCATTGATCCAAGATATTTGATAGAGATCCGCCTTCAGTTATCTTTGGAAGCAGAATTTTAAGAGTCTTAAGGTGTGAAGTAATTATATGCATAGCCCAACTGAAAAGAAGACCACCATCATAATTTTCTTCACTGCCTGATGTATCATCAGCAAATATTGCTCTATATTGGTTAACAACATCAAAAAGATGCATTCTATGACAATTTATCATCCCCTTCAGGTATTCATAAGCATTTCTCTGGTCCAAATCCTCCAGAATTCCAGTAAGCCATGCCTCCCGACATCTCAAAAACTAAAGCACAGAAAATTAAGGTCAGATACAAGAAAGCCTAGATTTCCAGAGAGAATTACTCAATGAAAGATGTCATTTGAAACGTTACTAATTTCTTACCTGTAAACGCATTTCATATTCACTAAATACTCCTATTCTACGTAAATATCCAATAATGCGGAGACATTCAGGTAACTGCAATACACAAAGATACACCCACAATGAAAAAAATTATCAAATTCTGCAATCAATGTAATAAAAAATCATGTTGCACTGCTTGACACGTATGTTCATGGCATTACACAATACCTGAATATTTGAACGAAGTTTCTGAAGAAGCTGAGAAAGAAGAGACTGAGTGGTCTGCCTGACTTCTGCAGCCAAAGCCTGAATAACAGGCAATCTTACAGAAGAAGGAAAACAAAATAAGTCAAAGAACAAAGCGAGCCTCAGTGCATCGCCTTTCACAAAATTGAAATTGGAACGTTACTATCAACTGACAAGGAGAACAAGGAGGCAAGACTCACTTGGGGTGCATGGTCGAAAGCTTGCAAACAAATGCTTCTAAGTCAAGAGCTTCATCGTAATTTCCATTCCTCACACATCTGCGTAAGAACCGGAATGAATTAAGCATACAGGACTTATCCAATGGCATAATCAGCTGCAGTAAGAAATACAACATTCCGAAAAATCATGCTTGGCTACCATCAAACAATCCCATTCAGTTCAAATTCACTACTGATGAAACCAATTCACTAGAATGAGAACAACGACATTTTTCTATCCAATCGCTCGAGAAACATAAGAAAGCATTGTTTCGGGGTTTTTTTGGTTCGCAAACTAAATCCAAATCAGATTGATGGGTAATGTAGCAAGGATTTATACTACATACAGTAGTGATACAATTCAAACCAATGATTTTAAACAATATTTCAAACACATACGTATCCATAAGCTGAGGAATTTCAAGTAAGTCGAGCAATGTACTGATTAGCTAGCAACGTCTGGTTCAATTTCCTCTTTTCCAAAATCTGCTCCGCGGATTCAACAAACTCGGTGCACCCACTCATCAACTTCGGCGTCTCCTCCAGCTACCAAAACGCAAAATTTCATGTCAGCATTTCAAAAATGCATCATAAAGTTCAAATTAATTAATTAATTAACCAGAAATTAGAGTTAATTAATTATTACCAGAGACGCGAGATGTTTGTCAATGGAGGACACTTCGTTTCGAATTGAGACCAATGCATCGGAAGCGGCAATGAACGCTCGGTAATTGGCCACCGCCACCTCCTGCATTTGCCGCTGTATTCGCTCCGCATCGACCCGAAGAAGCTCCGGTTCCTGAAAACCCGACCCGATAAAAAGAAATCAATTTAAGTTCGATTAACCAAACGAACGAACAATGAGAGAGGGGGGAGAGAGAGAGGGAGGACCTTGTGGAGGCGATCGAGGGTGAAGGAGAGGAGCTCGGAGACGTAAGGTTGCTGGGAGGCGGAGGCCAAGGGGAGGAGGGTAGCCACCGCGGAGGAGTCGTCGGCGGCATTTTCGGACTCCATCATCGGGTGGTGGAGCTCCGAATTGGGTGGAGGTTTTCGGATCTCGGACCCTCCGGTTAGGGGTTTGGGATGTGTCGGAGGGAAATGCAGATTTGCAGATCTGCTGCTGCTGCTTTGGAGTTCGTTGCTCACTTTCGATGGGGCAGTTGTCTTGTCGTTTGATTTGCCGCGATTCGGATCTGGATCCAACTATTTTCTGGGTTTATTGGGCCTCTATGGGCCCAATCTAAGAGGTAATTCTATTGTTTTTTCCATTTTTTTCTTTTTATTTTCCAGTATTTAAAACAAATAAAAAATAAAATAAAATGCCATTTTTCAGTTTCATTTTAAAGTGATACAGAGTATGACTGAGTTTCTTTTATTTTATTTCTGCTTGAGAAATTTGTAATTGTAACGATTACACATTTCTATAATGTTATCAATTCACGTGTTATAACATAAGTGGATTGATAATAACGTGACAATATAAATCACTAGAAAACTTCTCTAGTTTCTGAATAGATTTTCATATCGATTTATACATGATTATTGTATGTTTAAAGCTAGTGCGGTAACCCATTTTTTACCCTAATTTTTGGTAATTTTATACTTGATCAGGCGTTGGACATGTTATTTTTGAGTAATTTCAGGTTGCTGGGGCTGTATGCCCCTCTGCAAACACAAGTTCGGATCCTCATTTTTATTATTTAGATTATATTAACGTATCGCTCGAAGTAAAAACATGTTGTTGGATTTATCCAATATAAATCAACCTTTAAGTGGTCTACTATATGTAATAGGAATGTAATATTGGAGAATAATGTTAATTGTGATTTGATCTCTTAAAGATATCAATCCTATATAAGGTGTCTTATATTGGAAATAAGATTGATGGAATCCTTAATAATATATGATTATGATATTTTACTTGAGAGCCAAGAAAGGAGAGTTTTAGTTTTCCCTTATGGACGGAATCTAAGACTTTTTGGCTAGTATATAAACACCGGTCCCTGCTAACCCTAGTCACGACAACTAAGGCTTCCCATAGAGCATTGTCATAAAGCTAGGAGTTTACAGAAGAGTTGGTGTTTTCTGTTTGTCACGGCAAACATAAAGATTGGAATTTTATCGATCACGTCTTGCTTGCATGGCTACTGCATCTTCGATAACTACCATTGGAATCAGGTCAGTCACTCCTTCGTTTGTGTTTTAATTGTATAACCTAATAAGGCTAACAGTTGGTATCAGAGCCACTGGTTATATAATTAAAACCTATTAGGTTTAATGTTGGATTATATAATATTATCTTGAACTGCTTGTTAATCCAAATTCTCATTGCATATACTCGGCAACATCACCATGCGATTTGAATAAGTTCAATTGTTAATTATGATCAGGTTGCATAATTATTTAGTTTTAATCAAGAATATTTTCACTAATATTATGGTTGCAGTCTAGGGAAATTTATTAAGAACTATGCTAATTGATACCTTGATTATTATCAGCAAGACAAGTTGCCTGATTATAGCATGAATCCATAATATTGTATGCGGTGTATTATATATAACCACATAGCTTTGCTTGCCAATTGGAAATTGAACTACGCTTAGAGGTGCTTTTGATCAAGCATGAATTAAATTATGGAATTGAAGCATAAAATTTATATAATATTCTTATAGTATTGAAGCATGAAATTTATTCGTGACCTCAACGAGAGCATAGTCTATCAGCTCTCACAAACTACAAATGAAAGGGGTTGATTGATTCATGTCAAAGAAGGAAATGGGGCAACAATAAAACTCGGATGTTACATCCGCTCTCTCAACTTGTTGTAGGACGATTGGGCCCGAGTCTTTCCCAAAGACAAAGGTATTCAACCCTATTGGAATTTTGAGTGTTTTTGGGGAGTGTATAGCATCATCGACCAGGGTTGTTGGGGTACTAGGGGTTATGATAAGGTCGACTTGTGCTTAAATCTCGATTTATTCCCTGCGTCATGGTGTATGTTTAATTGGTCATGAAACATTACACCGTGTGGAACATTGAGTTTTGACCCTAAAAGGGCATAAAAGTTCCTAAGCTGGATCATGAATTATGAAGACGTTAATCCTATAATAATCATATAGGAACGTAAAGAAGCATATATGTAAGGCTTGGTATTATATTATGTATTTTACAGTGGAAATCATGGCACTAAGAATAATAACAGTTTTGTTCTATTTCAATCTTCATGCTAGTGTTTTGGTTGAATTGATTTACCATGTGCCACTGATGATCTCAATTTTTGTAAGCATGCTACATTTGTTCTGACCTTACTGAAGAGGTCCCTTCGATTAGCAAGCAGAACGAAGTCATCTACCAAAGCAAAAATGGTTTTGTTTCATTGACTTTGATTTCCATAATGGTTTATGGTATTTTGGTTGATATATATTTGGGTTGATCCCTGAAGGCTTAAATTAGTAATAAGATAAAGATATAATTGCATGAGTGATGTGCTAATTATTGTATAGTATGTACATACATTGATTACCATGTATCGGTTAAGTATGTCATGAATATGGATCCAATTATTATATATTTTGGCAATATGTATCTAAATGGGCATATGCTTATTGAATAAGAACTAATATTGTTTGCCATGAATTGCAATTGCATAAGTGCCAGCAATTGTTTGATCAAGCTAAGTATACGTAATTTTCTAAAGCCAATTATGCATATAGAAGTTCGCATTGCATGTGTAAAATTATCATGACACCAGTATCTAAATGGTATGTATATGATAGACATGCGGAGAAGCATATGTAAAAATGCATAAATTCAATTATTGTTTGAGACTATATTTTGTAAAAATAGTTTGGGTGTTTCGGCATTAGTACAAGAGTAAGTCTATTGCTCTGTTTTTCATGGGTAATAAGCAAAATGGACATATGGCGTGTTTTTTATACAAGGATTGGGTGGTCATATATCGCTTTAAGCGTGAGATGATCCCATACAAGACACAAATATATGTATAATATGGCAGATAAGCAATAGTTATTTAGTACTTTTGTTGCTTATGGTCATAGTGATATTAACACGTAAGGAATATGTACAATTTTGCTTTCATATCTCAGTATAGTCAATTGTATATGACTAGTTAATTTATGTAATTGATGCATAACTTGTGAATTGACTGAGAATGGCAGAAAGTATCATGTGGCAAGAGCAAGAACAATATACAAATAAAATGAGGTTTGTAGTAATTATGTGACAATTCTCATTTGTATTTTATCTATTTATTTGAGAATTGTGGTTGGTCATGTGATTATAAATATGTTTATAAAGAAGTGGTGAACATATGAAGGCATAAGGTATGTATTTCATTCAGAGCATGTGACTAAATTGATAAGCATAAGTCTTCAAACTTGTATATAGTTTATTAGTTTTTCCCATGCCTAAAGAATTTAAACAGTGCTTTTATTAGTAAATTTTATGTGTCATAAGGGGAGAAGAAAAACAAGTTTTCAAGGCTAATGTAGGGCACATATTGGAGATGTTTTCTATGGAAGAAATAATTTTGGTAGTTCCTTTGTTTAATTTGGTATTTACAAGGCTAATGCACGATTTTGATGCTAATGATTTAGGAGCCTTGTACTACGGAAAGAAATGTACAAAAGAAAAGGAACCCATTTGACTTAAGAAAACATTTGAGCAATTTAGTTTTTAAATTAAAGGAATGTATTGTTCTTTTGCATTACATAAAGTATTTCTATTTCAAGCAATTGACTCCATAATGATAAGTATTGACATTCTTGTGGTGGAATAAAACTTGTTCTATATGTGATTAATCTCTTTCAAGTATGCTGTCAGGTTTCTTGAGATTAATTTAATGTCAAAGGGAGTCATGAAGGAATTAGTGCCATTTGTTGGCAAGACTCGAAGCTCGAATCAGATTATCATAATTTTGTCACTTACAGTTAATTAATCCATGTGACTTCTTGTATCGTTTCAGGGCGGAGTTGATCAATGCCCTTTCAACTAAGCAAGCCGCAACGGCTTTAGTTGACGATGAGACTGTGTTTTTGAGTTACTTCGGTCAACTTTGCATCTTAATTAGAATAAAATGGATAATCTTCTTGCCTACAGGTGTGGATTACTTCTTTTAGTTTAATTAAGATGGCATAGTATGGGTTTTATTTCACAGAAGTTGTGAAAACCTTCATCTTGCCTACAGGTGTTGAAGTTTTTCATGAAGGAACTTTTGTGACATAAAATCTAGTACTAGAAACTAGTTAATTTTCTTGCCTACAGGTGTAAATTAATTTAGTTTCATGAAGTTTATTGGGATAAAGTTCCATGCCATTAGTGACAAATATTTCCACAATGAGCCCCATAAAAGGTTGTGGTTTGAAGGCATGGAAATCGGTTGCATCATGATGTATTTTGTATCTCTTTATGAGACTTGTTGATGCAAAGTATTGGACCCATGAAGGTTAATCAATGATTGCTAAGGTACGCATTGTTTAAGTCTTTATGCTTGAAAATCTTTCAATTTGAACTATGATGTCGGTTTAGAGGATGAAATTTGACTACTAAAGTTTCTTTTGGACATCGAAATTGAAATGATATGAAATTGAATTTGTTATGGATATATAAATTCATGATAGATGCACATAATTGTTTCTGGCAGATTGCATGTCTTGATTTAAATCGGGTGAATGACACGTCTAATGATCACCAAATGACCTGAATTTTGGATATGTTCAACATATAAATGTCTACTATGTGTCTGAAAATTTTCGTAATTTTCTGCCATGTATTTTAATTATGGTGAATTTATTAGTAACCCATGCTCGTATAGACAGTTTTTACTGGCAGATTGTGATGTTTTTGAGACGTGACTTTAGACTACTATTTTGATCCAAAACGGCTTTATATTTTTATTTTATGAAGATTAGTATGTCTATTTTGATCAGTATAAATTTGGTAGCAATCAAGCTTGTAAATTAATTTTGATAAATTCTAAAGTAAGTGTAACTCATTGCTGAAATTCTTTTTGACAACTTTATGTTGGTTGAGATGTCTATTTTATTATGTCTAAAATATAGAGCAATTTTCTTTAGGAACATCCTTGAAAGAATATATTAACGAGTGTTTGCCCAAGTGGGAGAATTAGTGAACGAAAATTGGGCTTCACACTCATTAACTTATTTGCAAGTATAACTCTGAAAACTTAGTGGGAGTTTTTGAGCATTAAGCGGATTTGCATGAATTTATTAAAGCATTATTCTATCTTCCATGTATTTGTGTTACTCGAATAATAATAATATGTTTAAGTTGCACAAATGGCTACTTAGTATATGCGTACATTTTTCTGTTACTTGCAATCATTTGGATTTTTTTTGGTTGATCATTCGTTTTGAGGCTCATAAGGACTTAGCATAAATGTGGACTTATTAATACATATAAGATGGTTGTTGGATGCATGTTTTTGTGTAACAGTGATGAATGCTTTCATGCTTAATTGTACCTTTCATTGAGGTAATATGCATTCATTGACTAAGTAAGGCTATTCCCAAAGGCATATTTTCAAAAATATGATTAAAGTATTGATTTGCAAATTAAGTAACGATGTTGCAGATCAGTGGGAGTTTGAGTTTCATGTTAGTAAGGCCTTACATTTGCAGATGACCTATAAAGTATGTATAGAATCCATGTATTCATATTAATCTCCAGTTGGATTCATTAAGTCACATTTTTCGTGTGCTAGTCAATCATCTGATGAAATATATATCAGATTTCAAGTTGTTATCAAACTGCATATTAAATGTCATGGCATGGTTTGTGCACTACCTCAGTTGTGAGGATTTCCATCTTGCCCGCAGGTGTTGGAAATCACTATGAAAGTAACTGGTATGGTGCATAGATTAGTGTCAAAACATATTAATTCATCTTGCTCACAAGTGTTGAATTAATTTGTTTTATGAAGTTTTTGGGATATTTTACTTGGACATGTGCCTATTTGGTATTTTCAGTTGTGTCTGTTGGCTACAAACATCGTTTGTATTATTATTGATCTAATGAAAGTGATGCATGATTGTTTTGGAGATGTATTCACACCTGCAGGTTATGGTGGTTTCATTAGATGAAGGATATCTGCATTGGCAGATTTAAGGCTTCGAAGAAGCATAAAGTGTAACTTGTGAGTTACAATAAGGTGGACCTGAGATGATATAAAGTAAGACATTTTGATTAATTTATAGTTTAATTTTAAAGTTTCATCTCTTGATCATAATTTGTGTTTCATGTGAATGAGGATCTTAGCATGTGTGATTATGAAGGTTCTGGGTTGTGTCAACTCTACAACCTTGTTAGTTCCATGTTAAGAAATGCATTTGACAGAAGCTGCATTAAGGACGAGATGTAATCACTGTTACATGGCCACTAAAGTGACATTAGTCTCCAATCTCAAGTATAAACATGAATATTACATTTTGTAGACCAAGTGGGAGAATGTTGGATTATCCAATATAAATCAACCTTTAAGTGGTCTACTATATGTAATAGGAATGTAATATTGGAGAATAATGTTAATTGTGATTTGATCTCTTAAAGATATCAATCCTATATAAGGTGTCTTATATTGGAAATAAGATTGATGGAATCCTTAATAATATATGATTATGATATTTTACTTGAGAGCCAAGAAAGGAGAGTTTTAGTTTTCCCTTATGGACGGAATCTAAGACTTTTTGGCTAGTATATAAACACCGGTCCCTGCTAACCCTAGTCACGACAACTAAGGCTTCCCATAGAGCATTGTCATAAAGCTAGGAGTTTACAGAAGAGTTGGTGTTTTCTGTTTGTCACGGCAAACATAAAGATTGGAATTTTATCGATCACGTCTTGCTTGCATGGCTACTGCATCTTCGATAACTACCATTGGAATCAGGTCAGTCACTCCTTCGTTTGTGTTTTAATTGTATAACCTAATAAGGCTAACACATGTTACAAATCACATATTAATTCTCGTCGAAAGTAATACATAAAAAGATCAAGTAACAAACAAAATCAAATACAAGTAGGAGTAGGATTGTGTATATACATCACCCAAGATTTGGTCTATGCCTCTATACTTTTCACCAAAAAGAAAACACAACCTGAACTAACAAGATGAACAAAAAAAAGACATGAACAGAAGAAGGAGAAGAAGCCTCGGAGGCGTAAAAGTAGTAGTAAGGATGTGAACTGTTATTCGCCACTCCTGCTCCTGTTGTTGCTGTTGTTGGCACTGGACCAGCAGGAGGCATGCCGTAGAAGTACATAAACCGAGGAGGAGGAGGAGCGCCTTGCGAAGGATATGATGGGGGGCATTGTTTTGGCGGTGAGGGAGGTGGCAAAGGTGATTGTTTTGGTGGCGAGGGAGGTGGAGAAATGTAGTAATATTGAGGTGGAGAGTGGTATGCTAGTGGCGGTGATTGTAGAGGTGATGGCGGTGGACCTGAAGGCTCGAGTTGAGGAGGAGGAGGTGGTGAACATATGACTGGACATGTAGTGCAGTCACTGATACATATTAAACCAGTCTCAGGATCCACCGTTTGATCTCCATATGTGAACCTGGAAAACATGATCATCCCGAAAATCGCGGCCATCAAGGACCGGGGAATCCATTTCCCTACCATGAATCTCAAAGCTCTGGAGTTAGCCATCTGACAGAAGCATAACCTTGAAAACTGACCAAGTTGTGAGGTAGCCTTCAGAAAATTTTGTTCTTCTTATCTGCCTTTTTATACAAAAGTACGTATGGCTCCTCCCACAAGTTTTGATTTAGATGCTTCAGGAAATACGCACAAACAAAATGGGTCACAAAACAGACAATAAAGGGGCATTAAATTGTGACTTACATACGGTCTGAACATTGTCTATTTAGTGTACCTGAGTTTTTTTTTTTTATTAGGAGTTTGTAACCGATTTTATTTCCGCTTTTCTTTGTAATATTCTTTCAATTTCATGCGAGAAGGAATCCTTAGAAAAGTTTCAATGACAATCTAATCCTCCACCTCTGGTTTCTACTTTTTTTTTTCTGATGCCTTTCTGCAAGCATAATCCACCTTTGTGTGGAACAATTACCCCCTTACAGTAGTGGTGCACTTTATGCTCCTTCTTTTAGTTATACCTTTCTTTGTAAGATGGATCCACAACCCTTTCACTAACTTTTTGCACTTCTAATTCAGCTAATGCAACTCGCAGACTTGCGCATAGCCAAGTTGGTTGAAGCAATATGTTTTCACGGCCCATTTGCGCCCAACTTTGGATCCCACGCCCCATAGTTTAGATTAGATTAGATTAGATTAGATTAGATTAGATTAGATTATTGTTCGAGTAAATAAAATTTACTGACTTCTTTTAGGCTGGAATTTTCACTTGAGTATAAAGTCTTGCAGGTTTCCTTTTGAGTCACCACACTTTAAATCTTCTCAAACTTCAACTGCAGAGGGAAGTGATCATCTTATAGTATGAACAGGCAGAACATGAACACAAAGAACAAATAACAAAGATTTTCTAATCACAAACCCACCAAAGATTAGCTTAAACCAATCAGTGAAAGAAGCCTAAGAATATCAACCTTTTCTTTTTCCTTATATCAGTTTCCTATTATCTACAAACACTTCAGTTTCTTCAATTGTAACTAGCTTTCCGGCCTTTCGTTCCTTGCGTCATCGAGTGGTTTTGAATTCTCTTCATCTTCTTTGTACTTCTGCACTATGTTTCAACTCCACCCACGGAGCTACTCTTATCCAGTGGCTCCTGGTTATTCAACAATGTAGCATAATTTAGGTGCTAGCAGATAAAAACTAAAATAGAAAAGAGGACCGCGAATTGTTAATACTTAATAGCACTCCAAAATAGTTATTCTGCACTCGTGTTTTTCTCTCTTATTTTCTTCAATTAGAAATGAGTGCAGGATTACTATTTTGAAGTGTCAATAGCCGCGTCCAAACAAGTCTGTCAGTTAATGTTACAAACCTGACTACTTGTAGGTGACGTTCTTGATGTGGAAGGACGCGGCGCAGAGCTTCGAGTTGGACTATAATTGAACCCAGGAGGAGTAATGTCGCCAGTCCTTCCAAAGTCTCTTAACCGGTTCAGTTCCGGCACAACAACCGTGCCAAGATCAGGCCTGTCCTTCTTCCTTAGCTCTGTGCATTGTAATGCCAAGTTAGCGAACGCTAGAGCCTCTTCGATTGGCCAGTCGGTCACTGCTGGATCAAGCATCTCTGAAAATGTTCCCTTCTCGATGGACCTCCTGACATGATGAGCAACTCCCATGGCAGGCTTGGCTGTGATGATTTGGAGTAGTACTATCCCCAACGAGTATATATCTGATTTTGTTGTTAACATGCCAGTTTGTTGGTACTCAGGATCGATGTAACAAAATGTTCCCGCGGCTGCAGTCATGTGGTATTGTGTCACCTCGTCTGCTACAGATGGTGGAACTAAGCGTGCTAGCCCGACATCGCTGATCTTGCTCACAAAGTTCCGGTCTAATAAGATGTTTGCTGGCTTTAGGTCACGGTGTACAAGGGGTTCCGGCTTTGCTTGGTGAAGGAAATGAAGCGTTATTGAAATCTCAGAAGCTATTTTGAACCGTCTCCTCCACGATATTGGGGGCGTGTTACCTCTTCTAAATAACCGGTCTTCTAAGCTGCCGTATTCCATGTATTCGTATACTAGGCATCCGTATTCGGGGCAAGCACCAAGGAGGAGAACCATGTTAGGATATCTCAGGCAGCTCAGGACCTCAACCTGCATGTCAACACAAATTATGTCTCTGATAACCATCTTGTTTTTCTGATAGTATAACGTTTATGTAATGTTCCAAATCTCAAAACTGTATCAATAACATACCTCCTGTTGGAATTGCTTCCTCCCTTGAGCAGCATCAGGTCTCAGAACCTTGATGGCAACAGGCGTGTGATCGAGTTTTCCTTTGTACACAGGTCCATATCCACCCTCACCAATTTTATTCGCTTCTGCAAATTTTTCCGTGGCTTCTTCAATTTCTTCTATGGTGTACTTCCTATACCGGACATCATTTTGTGCCAAAGCATTCAACGCCCGGATCTTCTCTTCTGCCTCTTTCTTTGCCTTCATCTCTGCCTGTCTTCTTCTCTGAGCTTCCATCTCCGCCAACTTCTGCGCCGCCTCAGCTGCTTCTATAGCTGCTTTGCACTTAGCCTTCTCCATTTCCACAATAGCAAGGGCTGTCTCTTCAGCAACCCTCACTTCATCGAACTTTCGCGCCTCCTCTTGCTTCCACTGACTAAGCTCTTTAGCCTTATTTTTTGCCAAGATTGCTTCTTTGCACGCCGAGCTGTACATGTCCATTGTTTGCTTCAATTCGAGCTTTAATCTTCTCATTTCAGCCTCCAAATCCCGCTGTGATCGATCAAACAGTTAACAGCCAGATTATTCTTTTATCTAGGCCTTGATTATAAATTTTACACTACCAAATTACTGATCAACTTTTCCTACAAGCAACCATTTAATACAACTTACTGCAGATTGTCTGGATGACTCCTTGGGAGAATTTAATGCACTAGAGAAATCGAAGCATTGGTTTGTAATATCCATTGACCCAAATAACGGCATTGACAAGTCACGTTCATCAGCATTCGAAGTGCGGCAGCTAAGCGAAGGCCGTGCTGAAGTATGGTTAGCCATGTCGAGATTAATATCCAACGAGAGATTGTTTGGAGCACTCCTTGTCCTCTCGCGCGCCGCAGGCATTTTCTCTGATCCTGGAGCTTTCCACCCTCCCCTTGATGCAGGCTGTCCTCTGCTTCCACCAAACAGCATTGCAAAAGTCACGACTTTTTAGCATAAGAGAAATTCTCTGTACATGACGTTTTGTCTTACTGGAAGACATGACACGTTGAAGAAACCTCAACCGTGTAATTAGAAGAGATCAGAGTCGAAGAAAACTGAGAAGAAGTGAGATTTTCTCAACACGTCATCCTGAAGAGAAATAATTAAAGTACGTACCTAGCTCCGTTTTCAAATTCATTATGATCTGCTGGGATATAAGGTGGGAGTCCCAGAGAGGATGGCTGTTTTGGTGGAGCTGCAGTATTAAGCGCAGGCCTCTTTGCAGGTCTTGTTGACAACATCTTCCCTTTCTGAATGACGTATACCGAACAGAATTCCGGTGCAAGTTTTACAAGGCTGCTGGACACATCATTCCCACTTTTGAACTTCCTGTGAAAAACCACAGCATCAGAATGTAGCGTAGAGAGAGAGAGAGAGAGAGAGAGAGAGAGAGAGAGAGAGAGAGAGAGTGAGAGGTTTAAACCTTGTAAGAGCATTCCTTGTTGATGCACCAACTACAATACTATTGAGGTAGTTGCAGTTGATATATTCCAAAAGTGCTTTTGCAACATCACCTTCATCAAGGATAACCTCTTTCACTTGTGCCTAAAATTAAAAAACAAATCAAAACCTATTAAACCCTGTACGAGATATTATGCGTAACACATTGTAGACTACATCTCTGACAGAAATGATGTAGGTACGTACCCCTTTACGAGCGCAATATGCACGGTAAGGAATGAAAACGCTATGTCCATTATTATCACCCTCACCATCACTCTCTGCATAACTCGGAAAAGAAACAAAGAAATCACGTTGACAAGGCCAAACAATGTGTTTTGAAAACGAAGCAGAGAAAATAGAGGGTACCTACGATGGTTTTTGTGCTTGACATGGATGAGGATGATGTACGGAGTGGCGCTGGCGATTACAAGATGATCGATAGCCCACCGGACGGCATAGTTGCTGTTCTTGTTGTCCTTGTCGACGGCCACGGCGGTTGCATTGATGGGTGGAACAGCGTCGTCTGAGGAGTAATGGGAGGCCATTTTGCGAGACGCCACTAGCGCAGCACTAGCACAGACACGCACCAATGCCGCTGTCAATGGCACCACCCTCCACGTCCAAAGGTCAGGGGAAGCTTGAGACGCAAGAAAAGGGGAAAAGGGAAAGAAGAAAGGAAGAAGGTTGGGTGATTAGGGTTTTCTGTTGGTGTGGTTGTGGAACTGTAGCATGACATGTTTGGCTAAACATAGAAAATGTGACATAACTAACTTTTGATTGACTTTCAACCGTTGCTTGATTTAGGCAATTTTTGAGCTGGCCATGACCAAAACCAAAGAAAACAAAAGGACTTTTGTTCACTTAATTCGGTTTGGATTTTTCTTGAAGCTTTTTGGGCTAGTCAACAAACAATGAGAGAAATGGGACTTTGAGAGGAACGAAAATATTGTTTGTTCAACAAAATTTGTTTAAGGATTGGTAGAGAGCAAGTCTTTGCACAACGAAAATGTTGTTCTTTTGTGACTGAAAGGCCACAAGTTCAAGTTATGAAAACAACCTCTTTATAAAGTAAAGGTAAGATTGCATACGATAGACGTTTCTTTCATCTCTAGCAAAGCGGGAAGCCTTGTTGGCTTGGAGTCGTCTTTTATTGGTAGTTGTTTGATATCCATATTGTAGAGAGGTTACGAATTACAAGTATTTGGCTTAAATGGTGGCTATGAAGATACAAACTGTGTTTACAATTTGTGACACAAATGGCTTAAGAAAACAATGAATGGTAGTATTCAATTCAAGTTAACCTCTATATTTTTTACTTTATAAGAGAATAACGACC